ATATCTGAATTCTAGCACTGCTTCCACAAAGAAGTTCAGATCAGGCGGCTGATAGATACATTTTCTTTACTACAATGAGAATTTTAAAAAGAATTGGAGCAGGTGGATTTAATTTTTGTTCCAGTTTGGGTCAGCATGTAAATAGTCTCCAAATTGAAGTAGCAGTAAAGATTATTGTAAATAGAATGATGAAACATCCTGACTAGCTGCACACTTGGTTTCAACAAAGATCATATGAAATATTCCTGATAACAAATGTTCATAAAAGACCCTTCATTTCGTGGCCTTAATCTTGACACCCAGATAGGAGTTACAGGGCCATCAATCTTTTTCTGCAGCCACTGGTGCTATTTCCAATGCTAATGTTGGTTTCATTTATAGGAACTCTTCTTCCTGTTTTATCTCTGACAGCTTGAACATATCTCTTAAAAAGAATGGTGATAGGAGACAGAACAGAAGCTATAGTTTAGGAGAAAGGGAAAGATTTTTACTTTGTCTTAGAAGCAGGTCATCTAAACATAGTAATTCATCTTTTGAAGATTAAATAAACTGAGTTCAAACTGTCCTGCACACTTCTTGCCCTTTTCAAGAAAGACATTTTGAACCAAAGTGTATTTTTGGCCTTTATTCTCCATCTTGAAAACTAGTGGGATTATTGTCCATATGCATTGGTTCTGAATAAAATATCCGGTGCTGCCTGGAATTCATGCACAGGAAGTATAGCTGATGTGGGAAAAGCATTGCAAGATGACAGAATTCACTATTCTAAATGCATCCCCAAGGGAGTTTGGAGGCACTAATTTTACACATTGCACACCCTCTCTGCTAGGTGCCTGCATAATCACAGCATTGAAATTGACATATTTGTCACAGACAATCACATTGGAAACTTTCTGAAGCTATAAATAAGGGCTAGGGCACCTATAATATTTTCCAGATGCAGAGACAAGGCACTTAATCTTGATGTAATCTGCACAGGGTAGAGCCCAGGGGCATTCAGATTGAGTGCTCGTGCCTGGGTTATTACATGACAGCCACAGCTCCCCAAACTTGACAAGCCTCTTTGGGTTAGATGAAATCTTACAAGAATATCTGGTATAGCTCCACTGCCTTAGAGATAAATAGTCCTAGGGAGATGATAATATATACTTCTTTAAAAGGTTTCCTGAGATAACTATTCATGTAGTCAACATTTACTAATAAGAATTAACACTTGTTGGCCACACACCCCACGTGCCAGACACTGATCCATGAACTTTATATGTATAATTTTAATTAATATTCATAACATCTTTATTAGAGAGAAACTAATATTTACCCTTACTTTATGGATAAGAAAACTCTGCCACCAGAAAGCTAAGGATTGGTGTTAACTAACATGCTATAAAAGGTAGAATATTTTGGGGCCGGCCCGGTGGCGCAGCGGTTAAGTTCGCACGTTCCGCTTCTCGGCGGCCCGGGGTTCGCTAGTTCGGATCCCGGGTGCGGACATGGTAGGCGTCCCACGTATAAACTAGAGGAAGATGGGCACGGATGTTAGCTCAGAGCCAGGCTTCCTCAGCAAAAAGAGGAGGACTGGTAGTAGTTAGCTAAGGGCTAATCTTCCTCCAAAAAAAAAAAAGGTAGAATATTTTAATGGTTAAAAGTGTGTTTTTTGAGGGCCTATTTTTAAAATAAAATGCCATCTCTTCTATTTATGAATTCTGTGACATTAGGCAAGATGCTTAAGTTCTCTCTGCATCAGTGTTCTCATTGGTAAAATGTGGATGGTAATTATAGCTAACTCAAGGATTATGAGCATTTCATGAATTGAAATAAACCTATTAGAGTATCTGACTCATAATATAGCCTCAATAAGTGTTAATGCTACGCTATTCTGTTTCCCGTGGTAAGAATGTTTTATATTCAAGCACAATACTGAAATGAAACACTTTTTATGTCTCTCTTCCCTATTAGGCTGTGCGCTTCTCAATTATAGGGACACAGTTTAACTCATGTTAGGTACCTAGTACGATAGACGTCACACATAACTTCACTGAATTAATGCATGAATAAGCTATGATGCCTCTTTTTAAAGGGTGTCATGATCCGGTGGAGAAACCACAACATCGCAGTCACCAGAATACAAAGCAATGTGTGCAGGATGATGATAGCAGAGCTGCTGAAGCCTTTTCCTAGTTCCTATGGCATTTTTTGAAATAATTGTTCCAGTGTTCATAGTAGAATATAATGTCTCTCCTTACTGCCTCTTTTTTTTTTTTTCTGAGAGAGAAAAAATCCCATGAGCCCTTCTAAGCTGTTCAGGGGCAGTGCTCTAGTCATCCCATAATCTTTTAAAGTGCAATGCCTGGCTTAATGATTATGTTTATGTCATGAGTTTGTGTGTGTGTGTGTGTGTGTGTGCGCATGCCTGTGTGTAAGTGAGGTGGCGTGGTGGCTTCAGCACTGCTAAGGCAGCTGTTATGTACTCAAACTAGACCGGAGGTAAGAGATCTGACTGAATGCCCCTGGTCTGCCCCTTCCTTACTGCTTGGCTTTGTGCAAAGCCCTTGGAATGAGTTGTGGATGTCAAATAGAGCCACCATGCTGTTTAATCTCCTTCTCCCAGCTCTTTAGTAACTGTGATCCTTAGTGAGAGTTATTGCAAACAATCCATGTTATTGTAAAAATTACACGGATTTTCCTAGGACAAATCAGAAACTCAGTTCTTAGGTATATATAGTGATATATCTTTGATTGAAGGAAATCTAGTATGCATTGCCAGTAGCACTTCTGCCTTCAGGAAGCTGTGTTTTGGTCTGGAAGAAAAAGGGACATAGTTGAGTAAATCTTGGAGTTCTTCTTCTATGTAATCTGTTTTTCAAATTCCCCTGGTGTACATGAACAACACGAGGCCAGGGCCTTCCACAGCTCCTTTCAAAAACAGGCAAACCATTGCAAGCTTACATTCAATACAAATGCCTCCCCACCACTTCCCCCAACCCTGCTTCCTTGCAGACTTGGAAATATAGTACCCATATGTTGCTAAAATAAAAGAAGAGGTCAAGAACACATTCACACCTGAATTAGAACAATATGACATAAAAGATACTGCTGCACAGGCTGTGTTTTCCATCACTGACTCCTCTTTAGTGTGCAGTCTGTGTTTTGAGTGTCTTTCTTTGCTATTGCAGTTGGTGGAAACCTGTAATCTGAGATCAGAGAGGTTAAAAGCGTTGTCATTTTGACAATTGCCAAACAATCTATTCAGAGGAGCTCAGAGCCTTTTTAGTTATTTTATCAAAGGTAAAACTCATTTTCAGAAGGGCTTAGGTGAGAGTCTATTTTCAAATATAGTGTCTTGTAATCAACAGATATCTGTTGTAACTTAAACACGTTTTAAATGGCTGTTTTCTAAGACCTTAATAAAAGAGCAGCCTTTTCACAGGAAGTCAGAATCATCGTCCACGGAAAAAGGCAGAGAGGTTACCAAAGGCCATATCAACATATACGCTGAGGATGCTTAAAAGTGCTTTGAGGAAGGAAGGGTCTCAGACATAGTTTTCCTATTATTCAAGAACCGTGTTACTCAATACTGAAAAGATTCTGGTGAGAGTTTATTTTTTGTCTTCAGAGCCTAAATAATATTGATAGTTGAGTGGTCAATGGACAGACATAAAACAAAGGCATGGAGCTTTGATAAAATAATAAATAGTAGCTATAATTCTTGTCTTTGCAGGGTTTAAAGACAGAGGGTGAAGCCCAGATAAATACATGGCAAATAAAAACAATTGAATAGAAAACCTTAAATATTTAATCTGTTCATTAGACCACCTTAGGTTGTCCAGGACACAGGTAGAGGAATTTAGCTATATAGCTTACCATTATAAATACATCCGTATCATACTTCTTGTATGACACTCTAGGGGTTTTTTGTTTTGTTTTCCTGAGGAAGATTAGCCTTGAGCTAACATCTGTGCCAATCTTCCTCTATTTTTTGTATGTAGGATGCCTCCATAGCTTGACCAATGAGTGGAGTAGGTCTGCACCTGGGATCTGAACCCTCAAACGCAAACACAGGCTGCCAAAGCAGAGCACGTGGAACTTGAACCACTTGGCCACGGGGCCAGCCTCGACATGCTAACTTTTTATAAGCTCATTTACTGTAGGTCTGGGTTCATTTTTTTTTTTTTTTTTTTACTTTACCAAAATCTGTCTTTATTAAAGTGAACAAATCATTAGAGTACTATCCAAAACTTAACGAACAAGGGCTGTAATCTCAGCTTGCCCATTTTCAGTTAGGTAAACGCTGGCTAATAGTACCATTCACCATCTTCATGATTGCGGGTCAGCAAGGGTCAGCTCCGTATTTGTAAACCTTACTTTAGCAGAAGACAGACTTGCATATTTCAGTGCTTTTAGTGAACTGGTATTTTCAGTAAACTTTTTCTGAGCAGCAAGGAACAAGAGCTTTTTAAGAAATCTTAGAATTGGATATAAACGTTGGCAGTAGACACATCAATAAATATCATACAATTTCTCAAATGAAAAAGATTTCCCTAATACGAGTTCCTTTCCTAAAGACATTCAAACACCCTGACCTGAGACCCAAGTCTCAGTCCTATAATCTCACGAGATTACAGCTGGCCAACATGAGGGTGTCAGGTCATGTGCAAAGGGGGTGAGGTGAGAGGCGAGAGAGCAGAGTAAATCACTTTAATTCACACTGAAGGAGAACTTCAAGTCAAAGGAATCCACCGCCTACAGGCACATCCCCCGTCTGAGGCCTCCGTGGTTAGCAGGGACCCCAGCAGCCAGGAGTAACTGAAAACGGTGTTTCTTCCTCCATTCTTGCTCCACCTGGCATCCTCTGTGTGCTGGGAGCTAAGGGAGGGTTTTCTTTTGTTGTTTAGAAGCTTCTTTGTAAAAGGTCTGTGACTTTGCACACTTCGTACCCAAATGGATTAAAATAATAAATATCGATCCCCTTGGCACACGTTCAGACGCAGCCCGTGCCAGTGTCATTTATGAGTCTGGGTCTTCTTTGGTGCTGCAGGCCACTTGGGCTGCCACAGGTGGTTGTGGATAGTGAGAGCATCCACACTGACGGACATGGTTTTGGCTGGGATCAGGTTAAACTGTTTCCGGTCTGAGCTGTATTTATACAGTTTGTCGATCATTTTCTTGGTAATGCTCTTTGGCCCCATTCCAGTTAATTTGTAGATTTCCTCAGTGTCTGGATAGCACCAGTAAAGTGCCCCGAACTGGCAGCCGGCATCACGAAACAGTATGATGTAGTGATTGGTGTCACACTTCTCTAGCTCCTCTAATACTGAATTCTTGTGAGGTTCATTCACTTTTCCAGCCAGACAGCAATTGGACGCAGCATTATGAACGATCGGTTTGTTGGATTTGTTACTGGGCTCCTTAAAGAGCTTGGGACCTGTGTACTCGGCCACCGAGGCGAGGGAGGACGCTGCAGACGCCGTCTCCCAGTCTCTGTCTGTGCTTCTGCTCGGGTTGCGCCTTAATACGGGCAGGATTTCCAGGGACTCGACTCTGCGCTGGGAAGGCGTGCCCCCTGAATGAATGCTCTCGGGCTCAGTCGTTGCTGCGGAGGCCAAGGACAGGCCGGAGCCCAAGGACAGGTTGGAGCCCGACTGGGCCCGGCTCAGGTTATCAGGGGTTGAGGAGCACTTGGTTCCCGAGTCGCTACACGACTCTTCCCGATGGACTGACTTTGGCCGCGGCTTTTTTGGCTTCGATTTAGGTTTTCCCAGTCCTTGTTCTTCTAACATCTGTTGCTGCTTCCTCCGCGAGTATTCCTGTTTGATGAGCTCTGATCGCGCCTTCTCTTCCTCCTTCCGTATCCGATCTTCTTCGGCTTTACGCCTGGCCTCGTCTCTCTTGAGCTCTACTTCTATTTCCAGCTGCTGCTTCAGGAGGAAGGCCGCCCGCTTCCTGGCGAGCTCATCTTCCGCCTTCTGTTCATCCTTAAAGAAGACGACGACTTCCGGCTTCTGATCGCCGTCAGTGCTGAGGTCCACAGAGCTCTCGTGGCCTTCCCTCTCTCCGTCCTCGTCAGGGGCCTTCAGGTCTGAGAGGTCCACCTCGATGAGGCTGGCCTTGCTCCTCGGGGGCTCGTCCACAGGCCCGTTCTCCTTGCCGGAGCCAGCCGGGGCGCTGAGCCCCGCCTCCTTCTCGCTGCGGTCCAGAGCCTCTTTGAGGCTCGTTTGTTCCAATATAGTGTTTGCATCTTTGGAGGAGGACAAGACAAATGTCTGCTGATTGCTCTCATCATGGAGCCTGTAACTGTCGAAGAAGCACTTCTCATGAGGGTCACTCCCTGGGTCTGCACCACAGTCCCAGCCCGGGTCAGAGGGCGTCCGAGGAGGGAAGGACCGTAAGTAGGGGAGAATCTCTATACTGGGCGTCGGGGTCTTGCTCCGGGAGGAACCCTGCTGTCTGTCTTTCGGGACCTTCAGGTCAGCCTGTCTTCCTGAACGGGAATTCCGACCCTGACCAAGACGAGGGGGTTTGCGGTGACCCGTCACTCCAGTGGGAGAGAGTGGCTCAACGAAGTGGATGGCTGCTTTGACTCTCTGGTCCTGGGAGTTCTTAGAATGTGGAGCTGGTGCTGTGGGGGATTTCATAAGCAGCTGCTCTTGCTGCTGAGAAATCTTCAGAATCGCCTGCTGCAGTGTGCTGATGGTCTCGTTAAGTTTCTCAGTAGAAAGGTCGCACTCGCTCACGTCCCCCACCTCCCCAGCGCCGTCTTCCAGGAGAGCAGCAGAGAGCGCTTTGTGCTTCTCCAGGTCGTGGAGAGTGGCAGGGTCTTTCAGTTTATGCTGCTGAATGAAAGCCAGGCTTTCCCTCTCCACGTCTTGAGACTCACTAAGGAGATCCTCTCTCCTTTGTTCCTTAACAAAAAATTCTTCCATCTTGGAAACGCCACCATCAAAGTCCTCTCCGTTGTGCTGAGAATACTCCCTAGCGAAGTGTTCTGGTTTAAGCGGCTGGGGGACGACATCAGCGTTGCCTTTCTTGACCACGTGCAGGAAGGCTGCCTTCCCCAGCTTCAGTCGCTGCCTGGCGGACAGAGTCTCCATCTTCTTCTTCTGCGCTTCGATGGCTCTCCGTTTCTCCTCCAGCTGCATGTGGAGCTGCACCAGTTCGGACGCCAGGAGGCTGACGTGATCCTTGCTCTGCCTGCTCGGACTCTGCTCTCTCCTTTGCTTCCAGGTCGTCAGTGGGGGCGGGCAGCTCTCTGAGCCATCGGGCGTGGTCTTCTGGGAGCTGCTGGTGCTGGACTTGGTCTCACAGCTGTTGAGCCTCTGGAGCTTCCTTTCCGCGAAGCTGGTCATCTTCACGCTCCCGCTCGCCATGGAGACGCTGCTGATCTGAGAGACGGTGCTCAGACATGGGCTCGAGCGGCCACTGGCGTCATCCTTGTCCTCATGATCTTTCACTTTCAGATCCTCGTGCAGCTTTGCTGACTCCTCCTCACCGACATACTTAGTGATCACCACAGGGTGGTCCTCACCAAGTAAATCGTGCTCAGCTTCCTCTAGATCTGCAATGTCCGAGTCGGAGTCCTGCCTCAGGACAGTCCATGGCTCTGGATCGTGGGCGTTGGGACTTTTTGCACAGCTAACATAGAACCTGCCCTCCATGTATTCATTGGCTCTGGCTACATGAAGAAAGAAGCCGTCGGCAGACTGTCCCTGAGATAATGGATCAAAACCGCCACTGGCCAGAGGCCTACCACAGGCTTCCCCCACCACCTGCGGCCCTGCCTCAGCAGGCACAGGGTCCAAACCCACAGGAAGTTCTGAACAGATGGGAGTGAAAGTCTTATTCAAGTCTCCACTGACATGACCGCTGGATGCCTTCTTCCACAGCAGAGGCTTGTGGCCCTCGCTGGACTTCTTGGAGGCGAAGCTCCTTAGCTGCCCTTCTCCACACTCATCCTCCTTGGTAATCATCTGCTTCTCTTTAGCTGGCCTAAGCACGACTGGCATCAACGGCTCCAAGAAGAAACTGTCAGGCTTACTTTCTAAGGTGTCCGCCAGTCTCTGGGGAGATCGGGCACTTGCCATCAGGCCCAGCTCACCGCTGTGGGGAGCCACATCCATTCTAATGATGGCCACAAGCTCTTCATCCTCATCCTCAATATCGACATTGTTCAGGAGGCTTTTCCCATTGGTCTTTAGGGTTGTGGGGTGCGGCTGGTTCTGTGGGGTCAGATTAACGATATTGGATGCCAAACTATCCTTGCTGATGGGGCGGGCCAAGCTGACGCTGTCACCAGAGCCAGGGTCCAGATCGCAGCTCGCAGCATGATGAAGAGCAAAGGGTGCTGGCTGAAACACAGGCCTGTTCTTCTTCTCTGGGCACGCTGCTGCTGCACCTGGTGGCTGACCATCAACTCGCGTTAAAGAATTACATCGGTGTTGCTCATTGGGGGACTCCTCTCCCTGCATCGTCTTTTGCTGTTTCTGTCTCAGTGGCAATAAAGGATGTGATGGGCTAAAGGCAGAGGCCCCTTTCCCCAGATGTTCAGACTCTTCGGGGTGCAGGTGGTGCCTGTGACAACCCTCGGCTGGCGGCTGGGTGGGGGGCTGCAGATCAACCAGGCTTGCTGCTGCGGGGCTCCCCAGGAAGCTGTGCTTGGTGGCATTGGAGATAGGAACAGGAGGCCGACTGCTTTTTTGGTGTGACACTGTTTTAGCATCTTTCAGTTCCTGAACATCCGTGGGTTGAACAAAATCTGGTTTGACATTCTCAAACCACCGGAAGAGTTCAGCAATAAAAACCATAACATTGGGTTTCAACACTAAGGGCGCATACAGCATATCTTCTAAGGTGAGATAAAAGCATTTGTTAAGATACTCATTTGAGAATTCTCTCAGAAGCCGAATATTATACAGACTGTCAGCCATCGATGTTACCTCGTTCAAGCATATATCATCCAGCTTCATCTGCTCTGGGCAGTAGTAGTGGACCACAGCCGAGAGAGCAGCCCCATCGCTGCTGTCTCTCATCAGGTCCTCCAACAACGGGAAGTAGGGCGGCTGCCTCGCAGACAGGTGCTCTCGGCGATAGTGCACCTTTTGATGATGGGCTGGACTTTCCAACAACTGTTGTTTTAACTTCACTTCTTTCTCTGTTATCTCTCTCATTTTAAGATTTACCTTGTTGACCCAGAACACCATGACATCCTCGAGGTCATAGGGAAGCTCCTTCGAGGCACTGAATGTCGAGAAGCGCTTGACGCTGGCCACGACCTTCTTGATGCTGATCATCTCCACGGTGTAGGCCATCATGAGGGCGTCCACCATCGCCATATGGGCACTCATCTTTATTGGTGCGCGGCTGAGGTCGGGGTCCGTCACGGGGGTGTCATCGCTCTCCATCACGTAAATCCCTTTCCGGGACAGGGCCTGGATGACAGACTGATGTCCCTGTAAGGAGGCCACCTGGTCACCTTTCAGGATGAGGCTGCAGACACGGCAGTACAACTCGCTGGACAGCAGGAGCTTGATGACAAGCGGCTTGATGTGCTCCTGCTCATACTGGTCGATGTAAAAGGGGTCCCTGAGGTCCTCGGGGATGTTATCTCACAGCCGCCACCAGCGCCGCCACCACGGGTGCTGCTGCCGCATGCTGCGGGGCGGGGGGCGGCGAGGCGGGGGCACGGGCCGGTCCGCGGGCCCTGGGTTCATGTTTTTAAAGGTAGGATTTGTGTCCTACTTTTTTCACACCATTGTGCCTAGCATAGTGTCTATCATAATAGATGTTTGATACATTTGAATAAAAGTCTATATATGAGATGAGACCATTGCTTACATGTAAGTGTCCTGCTTTTTTCCTGATACAGCCTTCATGGTGATCAGTTTTCCATGCTTCACTGAGAGAAAATCTCTGCAGGACAGAAGAATCTTCCTAAAATCTGGCTCTATTTTGCATGAAATCCTAAAATTGTAGGGGATAAGGCCTCTGCCCTATTTATCTTTTCTCTCTCTCGTGTGCTATGATTCTTCATTTGCATTGCAAAGCTGTTGTTCTTTTTTCTGCTTTGGGTTAAAATTACTTTACATATCTATTTCTCATTACATATTATTATCTTGTTGAAGCCAGACACAGATCTTAATCTTATGTCATCCATAGCACTTAGCATAGTGCCTCACAGATATGAGAAAGCTTGTTAAATTGCATTACACTGATAGTAATCACAAGGGTTGGAAAACAGGATGTTTTAGAAATGATTAAAAGAACATGGATTGTTTATCTTAAACAAAAGATCAAATGCTATTCTAAGAGTCTACAAATCAATAAAGATTTTATATCCCCAGTGGGAGAAATGGAAGGTGGTAGCAGAGTGGGGTGGTTACTGACTTCTCCTAACTCTCTTTGTGGTTTTGGACAGAACAGCCAAAGACACACATTCTTTCTGCGCTTTCTGGTTATTTGGGCAAAGTATTTTTGGACAATTTTACCTCATTGGCTCTACTAGGCTCTAAAGAATTCAATCCTAACTTCTACCCATATTTATGATTGGGATGCTATGGTTTTGCAAAAGGAATCACTTATTACGTATGATTGTTCTGCTTTTTCAGTCAGATTACCCTTATGAGCTTAACTTGTTTACTATTTTTCACTGAGGCAGATCCAATATTTTATCAATCTTATTTTATTCAATAAATATTTATTGAGCACCTACTCTGGGTCATGTCGTCAGATTTATACCAGAGATCTAAAAGTGAATAAAATATAGGCCCTGCCCTTGAAGGGCTAATAATCTGTAGAAGAATATCAAAGTAAAAGAAAATTATATAACAATATAATGTGTGATGATAGGGAAATGGATCCGTTAAGTTCTGTGGGAGCACATGGATGGGAAGGAAATAATTTGTCTATGTAAGTACTATCCAACAGAATTATAATGCAAGCCACATATAGTAAAATTTTCAGTTTTCTAGTAGTCATGTTAAAAAGGTAGAAAGAAGTGGGTGAAAACAGCTTTAATAATACATTTTATTTAACTCAGTATAAAGTAATTAATGAGACAGTTTACATTTATATTCTATTTTTGTTTAGTTAAGCCTTGAAATTCAGGATACATTTTATACTTCCAGTGCATCTCAATTTGGATTAGCCACATTTCAAGTGCTTGATAACAACATGTGGCTAGAGGAAATTTTAGATAATTTGATAGTGAGTTGGTTCTTGAAGGCTGAAGAAGAATTCTCAGATCTAAGAGATAGGATGGAGTATCTAGGCCTTGGGAACAGCATATGCAAAAGCACAGAGAAATCCAGATGTGTTGGCAAAAGTTCCACATGTGTGGGCATGAGAGAGAATTAACCCAGAAAGAAAAGTTGAGACTAAAGCCTTTCATTTATCCTTGAAGACCTAATAAGACTTTGTTTAGTAGCTAAGAACTCATTATAATATTATTAGTTCTAATAGCTAATAATATTATCAATTTGTTGACTTATGCAAATATGTATACAGCACTTATTACATGTCAAGTGATTTTCTAAGCACTTTTTACATATTAGCTTGTTTAATTCTTGCAACAATTCTATGAGGTAGGTACCATTATTAGCTGACCCATTTTATAGATGAGGACACTGAAACATAAGGAGGCCAAATAATTTGCCCAATGGCCCACAACTAATAAGTAGAACAAACAGAATTTAACTCCAGAATCTGTGCTCTTAACTGCTATGCTATTTTAACTCAACAAACCTCTCCCTACTCTGGACTATATGAACCCAGTGCTAAATTTAAATGTTCTCTATCGATCAGTAGAGGCTAAACGTTTAAGAACTATCAAAGTCGTAAAATGAGCTAATGAAGCAAATTTGTTCTCCTCAAAATAAAAGCTGATTGAAAACTAAGTAAAATTCGAAGTTGTAAAAACAAATATGGTAAACAGTTCATTATATTTTAGGAATGTGGTGCATGCTATATAAATAGCGCCTAATGTTATTTTAATAATAAATAAGATGAATACATTTAAAAAACTTATTTCACCCAGGTAGTTTCTATCAATTCTCTGAAATACAAGTGAACAAAATAGATCTATGTTACCTATAAGAAACACTCTAAAATATAAGCAGTTTGGGAGTAAAAGGATGGGAAAGTTATACCACGCACACACTAACCAAAAGAAAGCTGATGTTGTTCTATCAATATCAGGAAGAATGCAGACTTTAAGCAAAAATATTACTAAAGAGGGGCATATTATAATGATCACTAACTAAACTCACCAGGAAGTTATAATATTTCAAAAGTTTTATTTATCTAATTACATAGCCTCAAAATATATGAAGTAAAAATTGACAGAATTAAAAGAACATTAGAAAAATCTATAATCATTGTGGGTGAATTCAACCACCTCTCTCAGGAACTGACTGAAAAAGTGCCGACGTGCAAGCTGTAGGAATACAGGAAATTTGCCCATCACATTTAACAAACTTGACATAATTGACTTATATGGAACTTTGTACCCCTCGACTGCAGACCACCCATTACTTTAAGTACACACAGAAGTTTAGCAAAAATTGATCATATCCTGCGTTAGAAAGCAAGTCTCAATAAAATGCAAACAATTTAAATCATAAGAGTAAATTCTCTAACCAAGTGGACTTAGGCTAGAAGTCAGTAACAAAAAGACATTTTAAATTTCCCTATGTTTAGAAATGAATAAACATACTTATCAATAACACGTATATCAAAGAGGAAATGACAATTGAATTTAGAAAACTATTTTGAATTGAATACATCAAAAATTCAACTTATCAAAACTTGTCGAATGCAGCTAAAACATGCATAGAGTGGAATTTATACCAGTATATGTTTATTTTAGAAAAGAGAAAGTTTAACAATCCATAAGCTAAACATCCATCTCAAGAAACTAGGACAATACCAGCAAATTAAACATAAGTAAATGGTAGAAAGAGTGAATGAGAAGAAATATAATAAAACTGATAAAAATACTAAATATTGATTATTTGAAAAGATCGATAAAATCAACAAACAACTGTCGAGACAAAAACTCTCCACATTGAAACTTCGTAAATGGTAGAATAGTGCTTTGGTGTCCCTCTCTCTCTCTCTCTCTCTCTCTCATTTTCTCTCTGTCATTGGTAAGATTAATTTCAAAGTTGAACTTTCTTTGCGTCATAAACATGGGGAAAAAAGGCTTTAATTGAGCTATGAAAAATATTTAACACTTTCTTTTTATTTCTCGTCATTAACTAAGTTATGCACATTATTTGATGTATCACACATTGCTAGAATATTGCTGTTGTTTTGCTCCTTGCGTTTTCCTCTTGCCTCTTCCAGTGGATGGTTGTAGCCTTCCTGGGATTTTCAGAGTAATATAGTAAAAGTAGAGAAAAGTCTGGCTCAAAGAATCTTAGGAAACTTTACAGGCTTCACAATATTCTCTAGTATTGTGAAAGCCTGTGACCTCAAACAGAGCCTAATAAATAGATAAAGTCCTTATCAAATGGCAACATTTTCATGGTGTTCTTTCAGTTCAGTGCTCTTCTGAAACAAGACCAATCTATATACCACATTTGAAGTTGTTTTTCCTTAGCAATCCCAGGGAATATCATATTTTTGAAAGCCCTTGACATGTTTTGATATATCTGATTCAACTATTAGCAACTGAAAACACTCTTATTGGTTCTATATACTTTAACACCTGACATCAAGGATATGGTAGGTCCATGCATAGTTTCTGTCTTGACATGCATCATAGATAACACAGATAGACAATTTAAATAAATCCAACATGACAGATATGGTTATGCTCAAAGAAGGTCTCAGCTATAAGAGGAAGGCTTAAACAATCAACTCTAGATGTTCTCTAATCACAGAAGGAGACTAAAAATAGTTTAAGTTAAAAGGAATATCATCAGATAGCACAAATCACAGATAAGAAACTGCAGTCTGTTAGAGCTTAAAAGCACTTTTGAAGGGACGATAAGGAAGAGGAACACAGCCCAAGTCAAGCATAAAGTGTCCACGAAGGGTATTTTAATTATTTTGTGGAGTAGTATGATAATGCTAATTCTTAAATTTTTACAGAAGAGCAAAAGAATTGCCAAGACAAATCTGACAAAAATTAACAAGGTTAGAAACCTGCCTGCAAAATATCTAGACTTATTTCAAAGGTGAACTAAGACAATGTGGTATTTGCACGAGGATGGATATATGACACAATGGATCAGAATACAGATCCCAGAAGCCTAAATCAGACTTAGATATGACAAATATGGAGAAAGATATTTCTTAGATAAATAATATTAGGGAAATTGATTATATCGAATCATATCAAAAGATATTCATTCCAGGCAAATGAAAACTTAAATGTAAATATCAAGACTATGCGAATTTTAGAAAATAACATAGGAGAATTTCCTTATGATATCATGATAGAAAAGTATTTTCAACAAAACTCTGACAGCACAAACTATAAATGTAAAGTGTGATAAAATATATTACATTAAAAATAATATCTGCTCATCAAAGATAGTATTAAGAAAGTGATAGCCAAATTTTGAAGAAGAGATTTCGAATGCATATAACATGACAGATGATATGATCTAGGATATATAGTATATAGTATTTATATATACACATTTAAATAGTGTATATGTTTATAGATATATGTATTTTTTTCTATAAGTGATAAGTAAAGTCCAACAGCCCTAATGAAAATAAACCAAAATTATGAACCAGTATTCTACTGTCAAATGTCCAGTAAACAAATATATTTTTAGTCTAACTGGTAATTAGGGAAATCACAAGGAAATGCCATTTTACACATACCTTATTGGGAAAATTGTCTGACTATAAAAATGTTGGTAAAAACACTTGGCAAAGTGAGTTTCTTATACTCCTTCCAAACCACTTCAGAAAACAATTTGCTATCATCAAATAAAGTTGAAAATAAGCCTAGGTTACGATGCCATAATTTCATTCATGAGTATGTAGCTAATAGAAAATTTTGCACATATGCACCAAAAAATGAAAAAGAAAGTTCAGAATAATCTTGATTGGAAATCAAAAAGTCACCATAGGGGAAAAAATATCCATATTTTGGGATATAACTCAGTAGTACAAATAAATCTGCTGTATGCACTAAAAATGACGTACCTCAGAAACATAACATTATTTAAAATAAAGCTAGTTGAAAAAGAATATACAGAGTAGGGTAAAACTTATAATGTGTAAATAAGCAAAACAATATATTAATCATACATGTATACACTTGTATAATTATTAAAACAATAAAATGAATGAGAAACACACCATTTAAGAAAGAAGTTTCTTCTGTAAAGAGGAAAGAAATCCTAGTGACAAATGGTACATGGTGCTTTTCAAAATTGTTTAAATTTTGGTTTCTTATCCTGGTTAGTGAGCTATTAATTTTGTTATTATTCTTTGTGCTTTACATATATGTTTTACAGGTCCTTTTTATATATGACTTTCATAAAACAAACTTTTTAAAAATCTTAAAAGAGAGAGGGAGCACAGAGTGGTTAGTTTGAGAGAAGATTTGCAACAGTGAGCAGAGATCATCCTTGTCTAATAAGTAAAGCAAAGAAGCATAATTTCCCAGATTGTATTCTCTTGGATAATACAAATTCTCGTTGGTTGCCACCATCAGGCAACACGGTTTTTTATGCCAATTAGGGGATCGCACTCCATC